TGGCTTGACATCTGTTATGTGAGTAACAGTGTGTGTGTATATTTAGCCCTACCTTCACAAAAAAATGCACAAAAAACTAAAAAGCAATTAACCACTACAACCTATGTTCCCAACAAACAAACACAGACACGCACACACACACACACACACAGACACACACACAGCAGTCACTGGTGTGAGAGGAGCTCCGTGTTTCACATCTTATCCACCGGAGTGATGCTGAGGGTCTTCCCACCAGAGAGGACGTAACAGGCAGTCGTAGTCTGGTCTGAGGGCAGAGCAGAAAACTTGACTAAAACACAGAAAATAACAACATGATCCATGACAGCTTAAGAAATGAAACAGTAAAACGGCCATATGAACCCGTGCAGACAAGTCTTGGTGTTGTTACTCATGGTTTAAAGTGTGTACTGTTGCTTCAGAACAGTGGCAGTATCACTACATGAAGTGTCTCCAGACACACCCGGGCCATGGTCCTGGAGACTTCCTCTTTCCGACAGCCCTCCGTGTGCTGAGGCGATCAGGTGACTGAAAGACATAGACAAACCAAATATTAAGTTAAGTTTATTAAGTTAACAATGTTTCTCTTGAGTGTATTTTTCATGGCATAAACTTTTATTTTGATTTATTTGAGACTTTTTTAGTTTTTTTCATCAAAAGCTGCAGCAAGAGGTAGGAAGTGCTGATTTTTTTGCGCCAGCCTTTCTGGCTGCAGAGGACACGGTACTTGATTTTGCACTGTCATGTCTGGCACAGTGTTGAGCTTCTCCATATTGAATAATCAAAGAAAATGAAACAAAAAACAAAAAACAACACAGTTTATTGTCATCCTCCCTGCTTTGACTACGAATGAATTGAGTTTTTGCCCAACTATGTGTGCACACAATTGAATAAACCATTTCCTGGTGCAGCACTACCCGCACCGATGTACATGGGGCATTTTAAAACAAATTCAAGTCATAGTTTAGTATGTCATCCACGGTCAATTTTTGACATTTCAAAATAACATTTTAGGGCATTTGTAATACACATTTTACACCTAGTTGTACATTTCAGGAAAATATACTTGTTCTTGAGGCATGTTTAGATATTTTTCATTTCATTACAAGTCATTGTATAATACTGTATTATTATTATTATGTATTATCACGTGGTGGTATACACTGTATTATGTATTGAGTTATTATATATACACATTTTATACAATACATTTCAATAAGGCTGTACCTGTCAATGTGGAGTCATAGCTCAGCAGTCCTGTCAATGTCTTTGTGTTTGCACATGTGTATGGGAGAGAGTGTGTGCATTGGTGTTTGTGTGTATGTGAGTACAGTTGAACACCCGGTTTCCATTAGCCCGGCTGGTGTGGTACTCTCAGCCAGACCACAAATCTCCTGTCTCCACTCGGGCTCCACCCAGTGCTGCCACAGGCTTCCCAGAAAAGAACAGCATCTAATTAAAAAAGTTTAATTACATTCATATCGCTCTCTGTCTCTCCTTTTGTCTCTGTCTCTCTCCCTCACTCTATTTTTTTCTTACTCTCTCTCTCTCTCTCTGTTTAACACACACTTGGGAAGAATAAAACAACTGTATACAAACAATTCCATGTGATAAATGGGCATGAAAGGCAAAGCCAGCACTTTTCCCCAAGTGGAATGGCTTTTAATCAGAGTTGTTGACAACTTGTGAGCCATATAGTCTCCTGTGATGTCGTCCTCCGCTTCAGCACCATCTGGAATATCTCCGCCTCTAAAAGGGTTCATGATTGCCATGATTCTTTCTATTCCACTGCCTTTTTATGTCTGTTTCTCCCAGGCATCTTCACCAATAAAAAAACAACAACAGCTGAACATCTACGGTTGGATTTATATCAGACAACAGGCCTCGGGGGACACAGACGTGTTTTCTTCTCAGCTGGTTTGACCCCTGACCGGAGAAGACACTGAGGGAAGCTACACTCTCAATTTGTCTTTTGTTCTTGTCCTTTTGTGTCTCCCCAAAGTCGAGTTTAGTCACACTTGTGTCCCTGTGTGGCATTTTAGCACAGCCAGGCGTGTTACAGCCATTTTGTATTTCACGTTGTATGTTTCTTTTCTTCTTTTGTGTCATTGTTGGTTATTTATAGCCATCCTTTGTGTTGTTCCTCGCTGCTTTGCAGTGATTCTTGCATCTGTTCAGGCTTATTTGGAGTCTGCAGTCACTTTGTGTCTGTTTGTTGTTTCTGTCTTTCTGTCTTCTCTGTGTAGCTGTTCTTCGTCTTTTTTTGTTTTAGCGTTCCATCTCCGCGGTCATTCTGCCTTTTTGTAGTTGCCCCTTTCTTTGTGGCTGAACAATGCCTTCAGTGTATTTTATGCATTTGTTGCAGTTTCCCATGTGTTTGAGGTCATTTTGTTCCTTTTGTTGTGTTTAGTTCTGTGTTTCTGTTGTCACTGTACACGTTCATCACCACTGTGCTGTACTGCATCTGAATGGTTCTTTTTTGTTGCATTACTTTGGATTATATTAGTATTTGCAGTTATTTTGAACCAGGGCTTTATGATCACAGATCCTTAGTCCCTACGAAATGCCTAAACACTCATACTATTAAAGACAAATACAGGGAGATACATGAGCTCCAACTTTGACAAATCAGAATATCCTCCTATTACAAATATATATATATATATATATATATATATACACACACACACACACACACACACACTGTATATGCATAGACCATGAAAATAAATCACTGCTTGTTCATCTTTATGTTTTACCTATTATTATTTAATGAGTATCACCGGCAGCAATGACTCCCACAGACCCTGAGTTTTAAATTTTTTTGTTTTCAATTGGAAACAAATTATTGGTCCTTGGAGGGAGTCCTTAGTTTTACATGCCACTGAGATAAATTACTGCCTTTCAGTGTATTCACCGTGTGACCCATCTTCAGGCACGGGGACCCGTACAGTACGGTCCCATTAGGTCATCCATCTGTGTTTATATTCCCAGCCACTGCATAAACACACTTTCAGACTATTAAAGTGATTTGCGAGGGGAGCACTTAAGGTATTACAGCGCTGTAAAATAATAGCATTAACGGCGTGTCTCCACTGGGAGAGCCGTGTTAACCTGAAGAAGTTCCCTTAAGGTAGCTTTACTTGTCACAAACACAGCAACCCCTGTCTGAGCGACTTCTTCTTTTCCCATCAGACTCCACAGAAGCAGGTTCATTCACTGGGACACACTGGTGAATCCACAGACAAAGTGCTTCTTTGTTGCGTCAGACGGCTTTGACCTCCAAAGTCCGCCTGGTGGATATGGGTTATCGCTTCATCTCCACAGGTTCGGTAGAGCCGGGCAGAATTGCAGCGATTTGCCCGCAGCAGTCATTATTTAAGGTTGGACCAGATGTTCCAGCTGAGAGATTAGCATCACATCACTCGTCGGTGGAGAGTCAAGGCAGCTCACCACCTTCAACAACGTCACTGTATCACTGCCTTCCATCTTTTCCTCTTTTATCAAGTTGCCCCCATGCTCTCCTCATTTTATCAGCACACCTTCCCCACCTGTCTTCTGTGCTCTTCCTCATTGTCCTGCCTCCTTTTACTCCCAGATCATCGCCCCTCATTTGTCACCCTCCTCCATCTCTAGTCTTCTCATAAACAACGTTTCTCTTTGGACACTAATTTCCTGTCATCCTCTCAGTTTTTATATAATTTTCTTTTTTTGTTCCCCAGAAAAAAAGTTTCTTATAAAAAAAAAGAATTATTGATGATATCCAAGTCTGTAACATGGACACAGATAAAATGAGAAAGATTACATTTATAATAGCAACAAATTTCATATTATTAGTCAAGAAGATTTAATGGATGCCAATACTCCAGAGGTGAACAGGTCACACAGTAAATTCTTCCAATTTGCAGGTTAACTGTCAAACAGGTTTGAATACCACTGGTATTAAAGAAGCTTTGACCAAAGGTCTTTGCAACAAAGTCATATTGGCTTACCACAGAGTATTGTCTGTCACGTGTTTATCTATGGTGAAAGATATAGCAGAAAACCCACTGGGGAAAACCTGTGTGTGTGCGCCAAGGGCCATGTCTCTGCTGTATTTGAATGACCTTAGTTCCTTTTAGCAAAAACAAAAAACATTTTCTCTCTTGCACACAGAAAAACACTGTTGCCCCATGATCTTGTACGAGACATTTAAAAGACAATCTAGTAGATTATGGACACAGGTGCAAACAGTGACTTTCATATTATATGACGTGGTGTACTTGTAGCCACAACATGGAAGGTCTGGCCTGCCTGCGGTCCAGATCTTTCCAGATCTTTGTCATAAAGAAGAGAGAATCTATAGACTGTTTGGGTCAAACAGACCAGAAAAGAATCAAAATAGTAGTTGACGTTAAGTAAATCTGTCAAAATTCTAAACCTTTGAGAGTTGGACAGATCACTGAAAGACTTCTCTAGAAACTCTTAGAAAGAAAATTGGCCAACACCTTTTGTTTACTTGCATCTCTGTCATTTCTTTGATCTAACTTTGTTGCATCCTTTCATCCCCTACCTTCTTATTTCTTTTAATCTTCTCCTCTTGGCTCTGCTCTCTTGACTCCTCTGTCTTTCCCGTCCTCCTCCATGGAGATAACAAGTAAGGGCTGTCTTTGGTCAAACACAGCCCTGTTCTCCTCCTCCTCCCTCTCCTCCTCCTCAGCGTCCTCCTCTGCTCTTATCAGTCTCGTCCAGGGAGGTCTCCGTCTAATGAAATTCCCCTGCTGATCATAGTGACAGATGTAAGGGCACAGTTTTTTTTTCGGAGAACACATCTGGCAACTAAAGGCATGAGAAGGAAAAGCAGCTGTAATCAGATTATGAAAAACAATGTTGCCTTTAATCTTCTCCAGTCTGGAATCTGTTACACCCAAGTAAACATTTAGCAGATTTAAAGACATTTCTGGACTAAGGTCATGTCCTTTGTCTTCTGTGGAAATGTAGTTTCCAGAGTTTCACTGATATTCAGACAATTTATTATATTTATTTCTCCTAGAAGATTGAATTCACATTAATAATTCTTATTTACTGTAAAACCTGGAAAACAAAAGTATTCGGAGGAGCAACCAGTGGACACTCACTTTTTACCATCACAAGTCTATAAACCCAAACATCATTTACCTTCAGTTAATCGGTGAATGGAGCAGATGGTACAGCAATAAAACAGCGTTCAATGCAGAGATGTTTTTTTTTAAACACACAAATTGCACCCAAATGTATTTCTAGTAACACTTAGCAAGAATTCATGTCCAATCCCCAGAGGAGAATTTAACCTGACACATAAACACGGTGATTTTAACCAGAACAGGATTTGAGTAATTGCCCTTGTGACCTCACACTGTACTCTGTTGTGAAAGTCTTTGTAGAAAACATTGATTTACTCCCATGTCACAATAAATTACACAAATAAAATTTCACTTAAAAGCTTTTTAGAAAAAAAATCAGATCCATTTCCAGATTTGTAATAGGTACCAGACTAAGCTGGGAGTAACGGCAAAATATTTGAATGTGACGGTTCTCAAAGTGGGCGGGCGAGGGCCCCATAAGGGGCGTGAAGTGATTGCGGGGGGGAGGAGGAGGGGAACACAATTACATTTTTTTTTTTTTTTTGGACACAATTACATTTTTTATTTTTTTTGTACCACAGTGACTGCAGAACAAGTTTGTGAACCACGGTTTTAATGTCTTTCTCTATCCTTCGGATTGTGTACCCCTCACTGTGATGTCCTTTTTCAGATTTCCTCTTAAAATTCCTCTCCATTTGTGAAACGTACATTGAACTAGACATCCTCAATAATATTATCATAAAAAGCACAACCCAAAGTGAAGACAAAGTCCTGTCAAGCTCAGTGAATTCTCAGCAAACAGTAGTTGTCTTCAAATAACGCCCTATGTAACCGCAGCGTGTCCGTCCTCTTCACCCAGCAGGAGATTAAATGTCAATTTGCAGCGGTTGTTATCTCAACCGGCGTCTCCAGGAATGCTTTTTATTGTAAAGTTTGATCTGTGGACATTCCCACTGAGATCAACCGACCAATTACACCTATTACAACGACAGTTCTTCGCTGTGCCTCTCTCTCCCAGCCTGGTCTGTGTTTGTGCACGGAGGAACAGTTTGATGTCGGTCTCTGGTTCCCTCTTTTCTCCTGCCAGACACTCAGACCACAGGACCCTAACTTGGCGATGCACAGGGTCCAAAACAGAGAGGGTCCCTGAAAATATTGACTTATCATAGAGCACAGTTGTACATGAAATTTGATGTGTAACTTTGCCCTGTCTCTGCTCTTTTCACAGGGTTTATTCCAACAAAAGATAACATTAAACATTAACTAATGGGTAAGTCACAGTATTCAGACAAACTCTTAAACATGATCTGGACTTTTTATGGAGCTTGCAGAAGTTTTGTGATGAATGTTTTAGCCGTTGTGACTCTGACTCTCTCTGACTGGTCCGTGTAAGATTGTTTTTAAATTAAAAGTAGAAATGATGTGTAACTACAACACTTGGCAGCACAACTGCACACTTTTCTTTCTCTCTCAATCTGGCAGTTAATTAGCCAATTAGTACCATGCTAATGATAAAAGTGTGAAACTTTAATACACCAAAAGAAAACACAAAACTTCATACTAGAATAAAGCAACATATACCGTAACACCCTCATTGGGCCTGCAGTCAGATTCCCACATATGATCCAAAGCAGGGCAGTAATCAGCAGCTACAGTCTCCTCAGACAGAACAGTACTGGCCTTGTCTGAAAGACTACACAAGTGGTCAATGGCACCACAGCCAGAAAGGTTTTGAACTCTCTCTCTCTCTCTCTCTTTCTCTCTCTCTCTCTCTCTCCCTGACAACATGCAGCCGACATCACGTCATGTGGCGGTTCCGCAGCGTCATTGAAGCAGCTATTTAATCAGACCAATGCGGTGGTTGACCTCCTCAAAGGAAATCTCATCTTTCTTCACACAGTACAGCCTGAGAGTTTACTGTGGAGATTTGAACAGAACAAACACATGAGCAGTTTACAGTTGGTCTGCTCACATGCTTTGTTATTTCTGCATCAGGCACAAAAAGAAGAGTTCACTTGAGTTCTTTAGACTTAGATTAGGCTCAGATTAGGATGAAACATGGACGGAGAATATTCCCACAGTCTCAGATTCCAGGTCGGGTCTTAGTGAGTGTTGGAGCTGTTGTTAATAAACAAAGGAACTGTTTTAACGGGTAAGACTGGAATGGAGGGACTTAAACAGCTCCAGTGCCTTAAATCCAACCTGCTGCTATAAACACCTCGTGGACAAAAGGTTGGCAGCACACTTTCAGGGGACCTTAATTCCTGCAAGCCCAACAGTTGGTGTTTAGCTACAGAATGGACACACTGTGCTGGCAACAGGTGGAACTGCAATAACAATGCCATGACGCAATGATGGCTGTACGAAGGAAAGTACAGTAGCGACATTTTTATTATAGACCTCTAACAATCCCACGGGAAAATTTACTGCCCACCGTTAACTAGAGTTCATTTGTGAGATTAATCTTTTTTCACCAATCAACTTTAAAGAAAAATGTAATTTTGCTGAAGTGTCTCGAGCTTAAAATATCAATTAATATTGTTCAGGACAACGACTTCAACAAAGCTTTGAAAGCAACTATCCACCGCTCTGCAGTATGAGTTTAAAGAGTGTTTAAAATGTTTCAATTAATCATGACGCCTTTCTTCGCAGTGTATACACACACCTACCACACAGCTGTCGGCTGGCAGAGGGTTTTCTGACACAAGGAAAACACACTGATTAAATGGCGCCCTCTGTGAATTTTTTACCACTTCGGTAAACTGACCTGACTTAAGAGGACAAACATTTTTGAAACTGCACTTCCTGCTCATTCATCAACGACATCCTTCACACACACACACTTCAAATAGACTTAATAAACCACCATGCTCTTAAACCCAACCTTAACAAATATTACCTTATACATATTCCTAATCTTATTCCACACTCTAACACAAATATGCTGCTAATTCTAATACTACTATTCCATGGTAAACTTCAAAATACCCTCTCACTCGGTGCAAAAATCCTACACGTACCCACAAATGAGCTGGATAGATGGATAGACAGATAGATAGATCATACATTTTTGAGCAAATTTGAGTTGTTTTTTTCCAACAACCACTGTCTATGAGTTTACTAGATTTACTAGGAGTGTGGGCAGTAATACTGAACACTGACTGTTTGCCGCCTCACTGCATGACATGGCAGCCAGTGGAGTGAAGAACACTGCAGGTTAGCAGCATAACTGTGGAACAGATGCACACAATTAACTGGGGCTACTTCGTATTAGCTGCCTTTTGAAGTGTGAGGTTCTTTTTTTGTGACATATCACTTCTGTAGACCAGCTATGCCTTGTAATCTGAGAGCCACGAGAGGGACAGGCAGGCTGGGCGACTGAGGCAGAGGTGGTTTGGGTGGTCTGAACCTATCAGAGGAATGCTGAATATTTGCCTTTGAGCTTGAACAGACTGCTCTGTATCTGGCTCCGCCGTATGAACTTAAACCTCCGCACCTGCTAACATTCATGACAAACTGTATGAACGAATGTATTTAACTTGAGGTCGTAACCTCTGAACTGATGTTCATTGTTTTTCAGTCACTAATCAACACAAATAAAATCACAAAAAGGAGTAAGGACTTTTTTTTTTTTTTACTTAATCAGTCAGATCTCAGGTTACCAATGAACTTACTTATCATTATTCATTATAAGTGTCATTATCACTAAGGCTAAGCAAGACTAAAGTAGCATCATTTTTGTCAAGATTTTTTAAACACAGTCAACGCAAATTATCGATGCTATTTAAAAAATAAAGTCACTTTAAAGCTGAATGCACTTCATCCACACTTACCAGGGTCAGAATTGTCTTCTCCTCCATCACACCTCCACCCGTGTCCAAACTGCGGATGAGGGAATCAGACAAACGGCCCTGTTGAGAGATGGGAGTCAGTGAAATGTTTGACCATTTATTCGCTAACAACCTATCAGTAAAAAAGTGTGTGACAAGGAGTGGGCTGCGGAGGAGAAGATGAGGAGAAGGAGGGAGGGAGAAGACAGTTTTAGGCCCTGTGATAAATCCTTTGCAGGTTTCTAATGAGTGAGAGGGATATACAACACTTTAGCCCTGACCATTAATAATCCCCATGTTTAAAGTTTCTGACACCATTTAATTTTTTTTTTTTTACTCCAGTGTTTTTCACAGTCAAATCAGATGCTGCTTCATGTTGGACTTTAGTAGGTGATGGTGAGGAAATCCCACCTGGACTCTGCTGCTGGGTGGACAGTGTTGGAATACCAAAGTAAACTACATGCAGTTTAGCTGAAACTAAATCATTCTGACCAGATGTGTGAGTGCCGTTGTCACACACATGCTCTCACACCCATAGGAGGCAAGTGTCTAAAATTCCAAGGAGAGAGTGACTTTATCAGGCAAACATTTAATTTTAATTAGCAGAACTGATTTGACCTAAATCATCGATAAATATGTGCAGCATGACATGAAAATATTCCAAAATACAAACAGCCGACTAATGACACATTAGTTCATTAGAGGAGAAAGGTCATGACCTGGGGTTTGTTAAATCATTGACGATGAGCTCATGTCTTTGATCACATCACTGTTCTGGATCTGACGTTTACAGATGAAGTCACTTTCGTCTGGCTGTCTTGACTGCTGCCAGTGAGATTTGTTGTTGGCTGTACTGATGTTGACTGGGATGGTTCCAGGCTCTTGGTGAGAAATGTGGTGGAAACCATCCTCAGTGAGCCAGGGGTTTTACATGTCTGAGAGTTGTTGATTTAATCTAAAGTCAGGCTCCATTCTGATAGGACAGCTTCAGTTTGTTGGAGATGGTGACAACACTCAAATATTTCAGTGCAATTTGCTCCAGAAAATATGTAAATTGAGGTTCATTCTTGCTAGCTCCACTGTCCGCCACACAATTATTCCAGGCACCCTGGAGGAGCCTGCCCCCTATTTTGGGAACCACTGACTTACATAATGTAGCAAAGGTGGGTCTAAATTAAGAGCTGGGCGAAGGGGCGTTCCATCCCTTGCCAGGGAATATAATATACAATCCAAAAGTGCATATCCTTGCAGCTCAATTTGAAAAACGTATAATTATTTTTTCTGTTCCTCATTATCTGTCATTTACTGCAAGACAACGACCGCTGTAACAGACCACTGTTCATAAAAGAACCAGGATTATCTTTTCAATTAACTTTGCTTTTGAAGTTTTGCAAACAAGATGGACTTGGGAACCAAATAAATGTCCGCCAACTTCAACACCATGGAATCTACTTCTAAAACCTGGGTGAGTGGGATCTGATGGGGTTTAAGTCCTAATGTGCTGCAGCTGATCCCCCAGCTCTTGTGGCTTCAGTCCATCCTTCAGTCATAAGATTAAAACGGATTCTTAATGGGATACAGACTCCACATTCCGCACAATGTACAAAGCCCCAGAGCATCCAAATCATACTGTTCACATTCAGCTTGAAATAGTCTCAAGATGACAAAAAAGTCTGCGACACAGACTTGTTTTCATCGGGTCACGGCCTCAGAAAGAAAACTTAGTGATCTAGGGAGAAAGATTTTGAGAAATTATACAATGGAAAATTAACATTTTCTTGTCTTAAGATCAGATAAATAATGAGCCAAGGTGGAAGTGACTAATAGCTGAATTTACTTATATGGCCACTAGGAGGCCCATAACTGAGAAAGTCATGTCATTCATTATCACATGGAAAAACCCCAGCATGCTACATAAAAACTTTGCATTAGGTAGAGATATTTGGTCATTTCAATATAAGAGCATTAAAATACATAAAAACTTTGCATTGGTCATTTCAATATAAGAGCATTAAAAACTGGACACACACATATGTATATATATTCATAAACATATATACTGTATATCCACACCTATATATGGATATATATTTGAGCATACACTTCTATTTCTCTTCTTGCTCTTTAATAAATTATAAAGGTACACATTTACACAACCCAGTCATTCTGTTGTGTCGAGTTTAGACTCAAATTAACTGGAGGCCAGACAACATTTTGATTTATAATGTTTGTAAGACTTTTCTAACAGGCCTTTTTTTATTTTACGACTCTCAGGTTTTCATCAGTCATTAGTTTTTTTTCTTTATAGATCAAATAAAACAGACACTCAGCTGTGGTTTGTTGGGCACTTCCAGTATATTTTTTGTTGAATCATCAAAACAACTTCTTAAATGGATTTCAACGTGTTTCCAGCCATGAAAGAATAACGAGGAGTTACGTTTTCATTTAATTTATTTCTGCTGTTCACAGTTTTCTAAAAAATCTACCAGAAAACAGAGATTAGTCTGGTTTAATTTCTGGAAAAAAAAATTGTTTCCCATGAATTTTGTAAAAATTAGAACCCAGGCCCTTTGACACAGCTTTAACCACTTTAAAATCAGAGGGTTCAGGGGATGACATAACCTTAGTGACTGAAACTTCAAATTAATGAAAGCAGAGCATAAACTGCATGACTGATGGCATTTATTTCTGAGAGCCCGTACAATCTTCAAATTAGTTCACACAAATTAAAAATCCATCACCCTGGCATCATTTCCATTTTTCCACTGGCTTTAGGGACAAATTTGTGTCTGATGCACAGTGAGATTTACGAACGCTTGTATTACAGACTTCAGTGTTCCCATTAATGTATAGATTATTTCTCTCTGCATTTACAAGACAAGCAGATACTGTCAAGTGTGGTGAATAAAAATGAACAGACTGAAGTGATTCTTAACTACGAGTCTTACTGAACCCTGTTTGTCACAGGTAAATTTGAAAAAAAAAAAACATGAAAAAACCAAACCCTTCTGCTGATGTGTTGGTTCTAAGTGTACGTTTTTGTGTTGGATTTAAGTTTCTAATCCTGTGTTAGCAAACATGAGAGGCCGCACCGTGACCTGGGAGCCCCGATTTCAAAGATGTTTTCTGCACCGCTGAAGCAGAACTCCAAACTCTCACTTACATCACACACAGGACACAGATTAGGTATCAGTCCGAGGCAAAAAGATTTCCACAAACTTGCCCTCATGCACATCACGCAAAGATGTTGGCGGAGTTAAATTCCACACAAGAGCAAACAGGCTTGCGTGCACGTACACAGTTACTAGCCACCAAGTCAGACACTGCATTGTTGACGACAAGGGTCCGTGAAGGAAGCACAGGCTCTGTGTCTGTGATCTGGCTGTCGTGGAGACAGCATGCCTCAGTCTAATAGATTACCCCACATGCTTTGATCTTTAAGAGGAAACCAAAGAGGATCCTTAAATTGGCATCGCTTATCCACATAAAATAGCCCACTGAGAGTTTTTCTGTCAGCGACTTAACGTCTGACTTGTTGCCTGCAGAAAAACGAATGCGTTGGAAACTCTTAAAGCAGCACTTTGTAGTTTTGGGAACAAGAAAAAGTTGCGGGAGACAGGAAGCGTTTTATTGGATGAGGGAAGTATCAGCCACCAGAGCAAAGTTTGGAAACACTTTGTTTAGACATGTCGTTAGATTGATGGGCAGGGACGAAAAACATGCTGAGGACATTATGGTGGCCTGGAGTTTACGTCTCAGTTTTCAAGGACTTGAGCCTTGCATTGGTGCTGCTGTTGTCACCTGAAAGTTTAAGGCCTTGAGGCCTTGATTATACTTTAGATGCCTTTGCAAAATGGCCTAAATGAAAAAAAGAGTCTTTTTAGATATAATAATATAATAATAATATCTAGTAATATAACAAGCTTAAATTTAAATGTTTGAAGTTTCTACCACTGACACGCCTAGTGTTGTCTAGTTCTCATGCACCAAAATCTCCAAACTACTGTTGTCAAAGCTGTTGCTGGCACAACTACTGGTACGCATACCATCCATTCATCCATTCTCTACTGCTTAATCCTGTTCAGGGTCACGAGTGGAGCTGAAGCCTATCCCAGAAGTCATCTGATAAAGGCGTGGCTCAGTCTGAACAGTCTGGCAAACAAAAATTGCCATGAAAAAAAATTGATGTTGAAATGTTGCAAGTTAAATACGAGTTGAAATAAACTAGAGTTAGGTTCGGGATAATGTTTGTTTGGGTTAGCCAGGGGTTAGACTTAAGGTTATCTTTAGGTTAGTATTAATGTTGGGGTTGGTTTTTTTGTTAGTTATGGCATTAGTTAGTGTGGATTACCCTAAGGATTCTGACTTTAAATAGGATTAGAATTTTAGATGTGTTTGAAGCACAGTTTAGATAAAGAAAAAAATATTTTATATCACATAAAAATATCCCTCAAATCCTGACTAATTCAAACCATGACTAGAGAGACTTATTTCAAATGTACCAACATGATCATGACTATTTCAAATCTGTTTACAATCCCTGATAATTACCCTGATCCTGTGACTGGTTTAACCCCCCCCCCCAAAGAAATTCTCCTAACATCATAGCCCCGACCTGATCAGTCCCAAAGCTGCTCTCAGTATTTGTCCTCGTCTGCCGTAAACAAAATCAGCTCTGTGTAGATATTGTATGCAGAGGCTGCGATTCTCTTCCAGTTCACAGAGACAGACGTCCATTACACTTGGGTTTAGTGCATAAACAGTTATATGACATTTAGGGTAAACGGATAGGGCTGTGTTTACCCCGCAGGAAGATGAAGGAAGCAAGAAGAAAGAAAGATTGTAAAAACACAGAGTTTTTTCCTGTGCCATAATCCTTCCTTTTTCTTTCCAAAGACAGAAGACATCTTTATTACAAGGTCAGATTAATCTTTCTGCCTGTTCATTTATTTTCATGTCCTCGCTGCAACATTAGGTGTCCTTGTTACTGTGCCCAGAGGCCAAATTCTTAATGCGCTGCTCTGCAGTCCTTCCAACCAAACTCTACGGTGTCACATGAGGGTCATAAATCAAAACTATGA